GAGCGCTAAGATTTGCCCGGCTCACCCAGCTGGCAAGAATGCCAACGCTGTACATTAAAACTAAACGGAGAAGCGGCCACCGACAGACTCTGGGTGTTGTCTTCTTCCTTCTCAGAAGGAAAATATGTTTCAAGTGGGATCGCCAGCTGTATTCTCAAAGTTTTGGAAACCACTGGGGGCAAAGAATTCACCTTTTTAAAATGTCCCAAGGAGACAGGATGCTCGGACCCTCCCTAGGCCTCCCTTGGCTTCAGACACCCGGGGGAGTTGGCAGGTGCGCAGTTGTGCAGAGAGGGAGGGAGAGAGAGAGAGAGAGAGAGAGAGAGAGAGAGAGGTTCAGACGGCCCTAAGCAGCTGTCCCCGCGGGGCCACCCAAGGAAAGCTTTGGGGAAAGAAAGGCGGCTTTGATCAAACTGGGGGTGGGGAGGAGGATCCTCTGAAGAGACTATTCCGCTGAATAACAAAGAGGACATGAGGGGAAGGAGAAAGGAGATGCCGCACACTAGACTAGACAGTTTGGGGGTGGGACCCGGCGGGACCCGCCCGCCTCAGTGTGTGCCCTGGTCAACAATAGGGCGGTTTAATGGTTGGGGAGGGATGGTAACTGGATTTAGAGCCATGAACACTAGGTAGTGTAGACAAGTACTGAATTACAATGGCACCTGAAAAAATACATAACAATAGGCAAAGTGGTAATAGAGAGCAGCGTCCTCCCCTGGCTAACAAGGGTGTGAGTCCGTCGCTACAGATGGGGCTCGGGCGGTGGGGACAAGGATGGGGCAACCTGGTCACAGATAAACCCATGAACCAGGGTCCCCTAAGATGGGCAGATGGCACGTGGAGAGGACGCGAGAGAGGTCTTCTGAGAAGGACTTGAAGAAAAATCCCAACATGCGCCGGTGGCCTATGCGCAGGGACCGTTTGAGAGACGAGGACACGTGAAGGAAGGGACTCCAGTACCGCTTGCTCTGGACCTGCCAGCAGGAGACCTTGCCCACTTCTGGAGAGTCACAGGGGAGATCCCAGCCAGAACCGTGCCTCCCCTTGGGGCACGGGCCGTCCTTCCCCGGGCCACGTCCCAGAACACCCTGCTCTAAACCCTGGCACCACCGGCTGCTGCAGAGGAACCGGCGGCAGGGACAGGGGCACAGCGGCTTTTCTCAACTCCCAGATGTCAAGAAAGATGACAAAACCTGGGCCTCCACTAATCAGCCAGGAAGGACGGATAGCATGCTGGGCAGCAAAGGGGGTTCTTAAGGACAGAAAAACGTCCTTAAAAGTGAAAATCTCTTCTCATCTCCTCCTCACCCTTCCTGAGCTGCCCCTGCCAATGCTATCCTTGGCACAGCTGAGGAAAAAAGCATTATGAACAGGCAGAGCCACCACAGATATTTGGCCTTGGGGGCTTATGGCAGAGGCGGGGCTGAAGGCCAGGGCAGGGGTAACTGGCAGTTCCGCTAGGTTCAGCTCCCCATCTTCTCCCCAAGCAATGCGACCCTGGCTGTCTGGCCGGGTTCTAGCATCACTTGAGGGGCGCGGTCACCTTGGGACAGGATGGAAACTTCCTTGTTGCACAAATGGCAACAGCCGGTGTGGGGATGTTAACGAAGACCACATGTCATCTTAGAAAGCGAGGACT